CTTACACCTCTGCTAAATGTCACATTTTTGGTTTCTGTCCAAGTTCTGAGCACATTAACTTTGGCGGTGACTCAGTGGTTGAAGATAATCCTCTTCCGTTTTGGGCTGTATGATTGTTTTGGGTTTTAATATGAGTGATCAATACCATCAGCTCCCCCTTTAAATGCTAATGAACACTTTAACGCTGCAGATGCAGACATACAGTAGGCTGCAGATTAAAATTAGGCACAAAATTAAATTGCTTACACATAGCAAAGGAGCCAGTTTGGACATCTTGATAATCAGCCACAACCAGCTGACAAGTCTTGAATTGTCCCTGCGCCTACACAAAGCCTCAGCAGCCACAGTCAGACAGACGGCAGCCTCGGCTAATGAGGGGCCTGGGCCAGGCAGGATGAAGGCCAAATGCCAGGTCGCCAGGTCACCAGGTCAGAGCAGTGACAGCAGGACATGGGGTGCCAGGATTAGTAACAATCCTGTTTCACTATGCACACAGAAAGCTGGATAGCCAGATTTGGTAAATGTCCAAAAGCATGATGTCTGTGTTTGAATTTCTTGAACGTAAAGAAAAATTCCTATTCCTTTTTATTCCCGTGACAAATATTTATTGAGAGCCTGCATTTATAATGCTATGATAAGTGAAGAAATTCAAAACGGAAAATGAGTACAATTGGCTATGACACAAAGAACAACTTCTTGGGGGAAAACAGGCTGCCCTTTCCCTTGGGGCCTTAGCCACCCACAATCTGCTTTAGTAATATGCCCCAAAACTTAACCGGGGTACAGAATTATGCTCAAGGGCCAAGTCATATTGGCAAGGACCAATGTATAAAATCCGAATGGCAGTTGTTTTAACATTAAACATAATTCTTAGGGGACTGAAGGGTCCTATTAAGGTTACTTAATGAGTATGGAATTAGAACAAGAATGTAGAGGATGTGGTGGTCTGTTAGCCTGGGAATAATCAATTAATCAATAATCAATTAAACAGATCCAGTACTATGTTTTAGAGATACCCTAGTGACCAAGGTAGGCTAATCCCTGCCTTCATGTAGCATAGTCGGGCAAATTCAGACAAGCAAACTTAGGGACAATTATGACAGAGAGGGATAAATAAGATTGAGTAACCAGAAGGTTCTGTGTGAACACTCAGGGCATGCCTGACCCTTGTCAGGGTCAGAGAAGTTTCCCTGGAGGTAGCAGTATCTTAGCTGCAAGTTGAAGGATGACTTAGCCAGATGACAAGCTGGTTGACGACAACCAGAAGAGCATGGCGACAGGGAGCAGACAGTGTAACATTTGATTGCTTCACCACAGGGTGATGACGGCACAGAAAAGCCTCATGGGAGCTCGGTCACATGAGCACCTCCACCGCAGGTCTGCATTTCTCAGATCCAGCGCACCCCTGAGTCACTGTGCATGAGGCTGGAGGTCCTGGGCCTCCAAGTGTGACTGGCTGGTTGCATTCTTCGGGGAATCCTTGCCTGCATGGCATGGAACGTTTTCCTTTCCTTCAGCCTGGGGATGAAGGTTTGAGATTCAACTCAGTGCTGGGAAAGGCCTTTCTCTGGTAGAGGTCAGTAGTTCAGGCTGGCCTTGAACTGGCTGTGATCCTCCTGCCTCAGCCTCTTGGGTTCTGGGATTACAGGTGTGTGCCACCCCACCCCGCTGAACCCTGCCATTTTGAACCACTGGACATTCAGACCACATGACAGTTTAACTCTGCATCTATGGGTAAAATACTTTGATTAGAGTTCTACAAATATTGAGAGATGTTTTTGTCAAGAATTTCATGGAGTGAATGTCATCATGTCAGTTTGATTTCCTGATTAATTTTCTATCTAACAATGTCATTTACCATTTTTAAATTCAAATTTTATTGTACTTATTTTTCTCCATGAGATCAGTTCCTTTTTATTTTAATTTTACAATGATTTTATGTATATAAATTTTTTGTGTGTTTATACTGAATTTGGCCAATTACAGCTTCTGCCACTTTTTTTCTTTCTCCCTCTTTCTGGTCTTCTTTCTTGCTTCCATCTCCCTTCCCCTTTGCTTCCTTCTTCCCTCCTCCCCTCCTTTTTTCTATTTTTGTTTCTTTCTCTGTTCTTCGGATTGAACTCAGGGCCTTCACACTGTGCTAAATCCCAAGCCTTTTCGGCTTTTTATTTTGAGATAGGGTCTCGCTAAGTTGCTGTTGTGCAGGCTGGCCTCCAACTTGTGATCCTTCTGCCCCAGGAGTGCGGGGATCATAGGTGTGTGTGACCACAAAGTCTGCAGCCAGTTTGTAACCTAATTTTCCCAGATTAGATTTTGCTGTTTTAAAATTTACTGTCAGGCCAGGGATTTAGCTCAGTGGTTTCGCCACCTGCTGCAGAAGCACAAGGACCCGAGTTTGATCCCCGGTACCAAACAAAACAAAATAAAAAAATTTACTGTCACTTGTTTCAAACTTTGCAATTTAATTTTTATTTTTATGAGCTATATTTATTATAAGTTGGCTGAAAATCTCTTTCTCCCTCTCTCTCTCTCTTTCTCTCTCTTTCTTTCTCTTTCTCTCTGGGAATGGAACCCAGGACCTCACACATGCTAGGCAAGTGCTGTCCTACTGAGCGATATCACCTTCTGGCCCATGTTTTTCTGTTTTCCCCCCTCAGTACTGGAGTTTGAACCCAGGGCCTTGCATTAGCTAAACACAGAGACTTCATCATTTTTGATTTTGGGACAGGGTCTCACTAAGTTGCGGAGCCTGGCCTTGAACTTGCACTTGTGTGCCAGCCTTCCAGGTAGCTGGGATTATAGGGAGCACCACAATGCTGGTTCCACTCTGTTTGGGATTATGCACTCACTCGGGCTAGGTCAATCACATCACTAGCCCAGGGACTGCGTCCATCCAGGCTTTCCTGGGAGGGGGCTGAGCCCCTGCTCACTGCCCGCATACCCTCAGCAGCAGCTGACTGGCTCTGAGGCTGTTCCACGGACACCAACCCCATCTGGCCCAGCCCTGCCCAAGATACATAGTCTCTTGATTTATTTCTATTACCACTTTTTCTCCTAATTTTTTTTTTTTTTTTGGTACTGGGGATCGAACTTGGGTCCTTGTGCTTGCGGGGCAGGTGGCAGAACCACTAAGCTAAATCCCCCGCCCGAATTTTCCTTTTTTCTTAACCTCAGCCTCTTACAACTAATAAAGTTCCTGACTATTAGGAACATTTATTTTATTTTTTGATGCCAGGGCTTGAATCCAGGGCCTTGCACAGATTAAGCACTTCCCTGAGCTACATCTCCTACCCCCATTTTTTAAGTCTTTAGGCAACTGATTATTTTGATGGAAAAAAAATAGTTCTTGTTAATACTCACTCTGCTCTTGACATACATTCTCCTTTCAACCTGGCAGGGACTTTTGGAGAATAAGCATCATTAGAGAAAAAAGAAAGAACATCCAACTCTCACTATTTCTTCACAATCAAGGAGACTGCAGATGTTCTTGTTTTGATTTTGACTGGGAACATTGATGCTGACAAGTATTTTACCCCACAATATTAGAGAGTGGTCAGTTTTGTGGGATGTTGGAAAGACTTTTTTATGGTCACCTACTACACCCATTTCTAAAGTTGAAATCATGGAGTCACTTTACTACCAAGTGAATTTCTCTGACCCATCATGCATGAAAGCAAGATGCACAAAAACAGTGTGTAAGGAGCTATCATTTTAGACTAGACTGGTCAATAATGCCCTAGAATGAACATTTTGTTAAATAATTAAACCCATACTTTGTATTCCTTTCTGGATGACTGAGTCAACTCTGTTCAGTTACTTATCTAACAATTGCCATACAAGAAACTCTTTTGTTGTTTATTTGGAAACAGCATGATATTAAGATAGCATACTTTGTGTCTGTCTGCTTTCTTTTCCAATTTAAACATGAACAAAGGACAAAGGGGAAAAATAATTGAAAACAGACTGTGTTGATATAATCAAGCAGTGTGAGGCAGAATCCCAGTGGAGTGGCTTAGAAAGTTTAGAAGCTGTTCACCTGCCTTGGAAATGACATCTGGCTAACTGATCACATCATTCCTAACCTTTACTTGTAAATGCCGATGGTCAACAAGAATATTTGCTGGATGTGGTGGCACACACCTGTAATCCTAGCTACTCCACCGAGTCTGAGGCAGGAGGGCTGCAAGTTGGAGGTCGGCCTGAACAATTTAGTGAGACTCTCCCTAAGAAAAAAAGAGGCCTGGGAATGTAGCTTAGTAAAAAGCCTTGGGTTCAATCTCCAGTAGTGCAAAACAAAACAGACTTATAAAAATCTAGTTATTGAATCAATGTTTAGGTCATGACAGCTTCCATCATAAGCGAAGGTCCTCTCCTATACACTTGACTTTAATGCTACACAAAAACAGTTTTTCCCAGCAGGGCCCAAGGATTGTGCTCCTCCGAGGACACACGCACATACCTTGATGACAAGTCCCGATTTCAGCCCCGTGGAATTGCCAGCGTGTCATCTGGATTTCTGCAGAGCATTGAAAAGCCTAGGCAGGGCAAGGACACCTAATATTCAGTGCTAGTGAACACTGAATGGAATTTCCTAATATTGAGAGCAACTTGAATTCATTTGACGGATGTTTGTTGCTGACCAATTTTTTGAGGTGTACAGTATGAACAATTTCCCAAGTTGGATTTCACCGTTGCTGTCCTAAATAGCAAGCCGTCTCCTCTACCTCCAGCTGCTTCGAGCTGTCCTGCTGCAAGGCTGGTATTTACGGTCTTGTTCTAACGAGGATGTTGGTAATTTTAAATTTCTCTAGCTTTTAGCTTGTGATGTTATTATCCTGCACTCTGTCTGTTTTCTAAAGACTTCAGATTTCTGACATCCTAAGAGGCCTTTGTGGTCCTTTGGTAAAATGTGGAAAATAATACTCAAAAGGAGTTCTGGGAGCTTAGGTATATGGTTTGTTATGAATCATAACGAATGCGACATACATCAAAATCAGCACTAAGTTCAATAACCTTTTTTATTCCCTAAAAATGACAAGTCAAACCAGCTCCATTATGGCCATGACAGAAACACAGTATCTCACTAAAATAAATACTAATTAGCAAAGCTGAGACGGGGGAGGATCACTTGCTTTGGGCACAAAATTTAGGGAGGCATAAAAAACCTCAGTCATCAAGAAAAATGATATTTTAACACAATATTTTAGAAAACGAATGCCAAAATTCATGAACAAAATATTAAAATTTTAAATAAAAACAGGGTCAGTGATAGTGCCTTGCCACATCTTGGAGTAGAGGTGAGACAAACAGAAAACATCAGTAACATCCATCTGGTCTTTGTCAGGATTTTGATTTTCTGTGGACCTCTTGTCTTAGTCCTGACCCTGCTGACCAGAGCGTCAATGAGGACACAGCCCCTCCTCCGACAATGTTAATTCAGAGGAGAGCAGTACTTTCAAGTCTGGTTACCATCCTTTTGGCTGTGGTTTAGCTTCGGTCTCTATTGGAAGGTGTTTTCCAGTCAACGAATGGAAGCAGTGTCTTCTTGTTAATTAAACCTGAAGACAACCTCTTAGCAGGAGGCGTTGCAGGGGTGACCAGGACGGTCCGGCCTACTTCTCAGAAAGTCCTGCGGCCCCGGTGGCCAACCCGGGCCCGCTCCTTGCCGCCCCTGGCTGGCGAGGGCCTGCGCGGCCTCCTCCTGGGCTCCACTTTGGTCCAGCCGCCCTCACTCGCCCTGCTCTCCTCCTCGCAGGCCTGGGGGTCGGGCTCAGGCTGCATGGGCATCCCCGGGATGGGCCTGGGCAGGCGGCGGGCGTTTGGGCTCCTCCGGGAGTTGGGGGCCTGGCGGGGGCCGAGCGAGGCCGGTGACACCCTGTAGGCCCTGCCTGCGGCCCTGTCCCTTGGGGCAGCCGCGTGCTGGCCCTTGCCCCGGGGCGAGGAGTTGAGCGAGCCGCTGCCGCTATCGCGCTTGCCCCTGCCCCGGTCCGAGTAGCGCCCCCTCTCGGAGGAGCTGTCAGTGTTGAGGCTGGAGAAGCCGCTGTCCCTGGAGTTGAGGAGCAGAGAGGAGAAGTTCTTGGTCAGCCCATACTGGGTGGGCGAGGAGCTCCTGGACTGGTTGATGGGGGTGATCTGCTGGTACTTGACAGGAGCCTGGGTCCGCCTCACCGCGGCCGCGTAGGAGTCCTGGTTGTCAAAGAACGGAAAGAAGGGGGAGCCCAGGATAGGATTGCTGTGTGAGCGCTGCAGGGTCAAGTCGGAGGCCATCTGCCGCATCCGCAGCATGTCCAGCCACTGGCAGTCGGCACCTGCGGGAGAGTCATACATGAGCTCGGCCCCAGCTAAGGCCCAGCTCCTCACTGGGCTGGGGAAGCTGAGCCGCTCAGGCTGCCCCATGCTTCGCATTCACAGCAATTCTAGGCCAGGGATAAGGACATTTCCTACACTAATACAAATACTTTTTTAAAAACCAGAAGGACATTGACACCAGTATATGCTGTGAGCTTGGCTTTGTTCCATGGCTTTGCTTACATGATCATGTTTGATCCTTCCTATAATCTTCCCAGGTAAATACTAACAATCTTACTCTACAACCTAAGGCACCTAGAGACGTGAAGGAAATCGCCCAAGGTTACTCAGCCAAAAATCCTAGGTCCTCCTTCCTCTAAATGCCATCTTCTTCCTACTTAGTTGTGTTCTCACATCTAGAAGTTGCTGTTTAATAGTGCTTGGGTGACAGGCATATGTATGTTTCAGAAACGAAGGATTTTTTTTTCTTTTGGCGACCAGCACTTTTGAACCCTCAAGGGCCCCAAAGGCAGATAAAACAAGTTCTGAAGGCTGAGCCAGTTGCAGATTGTCTGGAAGGGAGACCGTGCTCATTGTCTGGGAGGACAGAGGTTCAGCAGCAGGGAATATGCCGGAGAAAGGAAGCAGAAATTTCTCGTGTGTAAGTTAGCTCCCTGCCCCAAGGTCTCCCATCTTCTTGGCCTGGGGTGCTCCCGCCACAGCTCCTGCGTCTCTGCCCTGCTTGTTGGAGATGGCGTTTTGGGGTGGGGACATCAGTGCAAGCTCACTTCTCTCTGCCAGCTAGTGACCTCCCTTTCTGATGGGCACAGGTGACCCCAACTCTGAGGCAAGGAACTTGTCCAGACCTGGGGCACCTCCTGTGTCAAGGCTCCCATCAGCCAAGTGCCTTTTTCTGTCACTGTGCATGCTTGTGTTTCCCGAACACCCTTTCTCAGTGTATATAGTTCACCTTGTGCAACAGCTCTCTTGCAGAGTATACCACTAAACAATGCTTCCTCCCCTCTGCCCTCTCCCAGCCCTTGGTAACTGCCCATTCACTCTGTGTGTCTGTGATTCGGATTACAGAAACGTGACATGAGCAGAATCATAAAGTATCACAACACCTCTCCACACCTTGATTTCTTTGACATTTTAGCTTCCAACTGAGCCCTGATTTTGTGTGGTCTCCAACCCCAGCAGCCTTGTGTGTCAGGGAAGCAGGCTGCCTTGGGGCTCTGGGGACACTTGATTAGTCTGAGCCAGAGTGCAGGTGCCAAGGAGGGGCAGCCTGCTTGGTTCTGCCAAAGCAGAGCTGGTGAGGGGAATCTAGGCTGAGGCTTCTAGGAAGGCTTTCATCACTCCTGAATATGAAAACAGGGAGGCCCTGACCTGTCCTGTCCTCTGGGCGGAGCCACATCCTACACAGTGACCATGAACAGGGGAGTAGCCGGGTGGAGGGTGCAGCCAACATGGCGTGCAGGGAGTAAAGGGGCGACCCTTGACCTCAGTGTGGTCCCACTGGGTTTTCTCACTGCAGCTGCAGCCTCTTGTTAAGGAAGACAATCCATTTTATTGTCATTTGACTCAGTAGCTACGGGACTTTAGAATACTTGAATTACCTGGAGGGTTTCTTAAAATGAAGACTGCTGTTCTAGTCCCAGAATTTGTGATTCTGGAGGCCCGGGGCTGGGCCTCCAAGTCTGCATTTCAAACAAGCACACAGGGCACCCACATCCTGTTGGTCCTGGGACCACAGTTTGAGAGCCACAGGAGTGAGCTGAAAGGAGATTTTCTACCACTGAGAGTGACCTTAACTGTTCTGGGTAGTATCCTCTGAGTCTTCATACCACACTGTGAAAAGGGGTGAAATGAGATACAAGGGCTGGGCATGGTGGTGCTTGCTTGCCATCCCAGAACTCTGGGGGGTAGAGGCAGGAGGGTCACAAATTGAAGCCCAACCTGGCTGGGAAGCTGAGGAACTTAGCAAGACTCCATCTCTCTCTCTCCCTCCCTCTCTCTCTCTCTCTCTCTCTCTCTCT